ATTAAGGTAGAGAAGTTTTCATTGCATTTATGGATTTAGAAAAGGCATATGATAGGGTGGATAGGGGAGCAATGTGGCAGATGTTGCAAGTGTATGGAATAGGTAGTAAGTTACTAAATGCCATAAAGAGTTTTTATGAGGATAGTGAGGTAAAGCACCCTTCTGGCAAGACAGTGATGGAGTGAATGATAGTGAAAGTTTTTCTTTTTCGGGCCACCCTGCCTTGGTGGGAATCGGCCAGTGTGATAATAAAAAAAAAATAAAAAAAAAGTGAGGTTCGGGTTAGGGTGTGTAGGAGAGAGGGAGATTACTTCCCAGTAAAAGTACGTCTTAGACAGGGATGTGTAATGTCACCAAGGTTAGTTATAGATAGGGTTGTAACAGAAGTAAATGCTAGGGTGTTGGGAGGGAGGGGTGGGATTAAATTATGGGGAATCAGATACAAAATGGGAGTTGACAGTTATTTTTTGCTTATGATACTGTACTTTTGGGAGATTCTGAAGAAGAGTTACAAAGGTTAGTGGACGAGTTTGGGAGGGTGTGTAAAGGTAGAAAGTTGAAAGTGAACATAGATAAGAGTAAGGTGATGAGGGTATCAAATGATTTAGATAAAGAACAATTGGATATCACATTGGAGAGAGGGAGTATGGAAGAAGTGAATGTGTTCAGATATTTGGGAGTTGACTTGTCAACAGATGGGTTTATGAAGGATGAGGCTAACCATAGAATTGATGAAAGAAAAAAGGTGAGTGGTGCTTTAAGGTATCTGTGGAGACAAAAAAATGTTATCCATGGAGGCAAAGGAGGGAATGTATGAGAGTATTGTGGTACCAACACTTATATGGGTATGAAGCATGGGTTGTAAATGTTGCAGCAAGGAGGAGGCTGGAGGCAGTGGAGATGTCATGTCTAAGGGCAATGTGTGGTGTAAATATTACGCTGAGAATTTGTAGTGTGACAGTTTTCTTCTTCTTATTCTTTTTAGTAATTATTACAGGAAAAGGGTTACTAGCCCATTGTTCCCGGCATTTTAGTTGACTTTTACAACACGCATGGCTTACGTAGGAAAGATTCTTATTCCACTTCCCCATGGATATAAAAGGAAAAGTAATAAGAACAAGAACTATTAAGATAAAAATCAAAGAAAACTCAGATGAGTATGTATAAATAAATGTGTACATATATGTTTAGTGTGACCTAAGTGTAAGTAGAAGTAGCAAGACGTACCTGTAATCTTGCATATTTATAAGACAGACAAAAGACACCAGCAATCCTACCATCATGTAAAACAATTACAGACTTTCGTTTTGCTCACTTGGCAGGACGGTAGTACCTCCCTGGGTGGTTGCTGTCTACCACCCTGCCTCGGTGGGAGACGGCTGACTTGTTAAAAAAAAAAAAAAATCGTAGTGTGGAAATTAGGAGGTGTGGAGTTAACATAAGTAATAGAGGGCTGAAGAGGGGTTGTTGAAGTAGTTTGGTCATTTAGAGAGGATGGAACGAAGAAGAATAACATGGAGAGCATATAAACCTGTAGGGAAGGTAGGCAGGGGTAGGGGTTGTCCTAGGAAAAGTTGGAGGGAGGGGATATAGGAGGTTTTGTGGGCAAGGGGCTTGGACTTCCAGAAAGCATGCTTGAGTGTTAGATAGGAGTGAATGGAGACTAATGGTTTTTGGGACCTGATGAACTGTTAGAGTGTGAGCAGGGATTCAGGAAAACTGGTTAGCTGGACTTGAGTCTTGGAGGTGGGAAGTACAATTCCTGCACTTTAACCTCTTTCACTGTTGGTGCCATAATATTACGGCTTGCAAGCCAGTGCCGTAATATTATGCCAAAATTCTAGCGGCTTCAAATCTTGCGGGAGAAAGTTGGTAGGCCTACATATGAGAGATTGGGACTGAGTGGTCCTTTTGCACAGTATAAAAAATATCCTGCAGCATGCAGTGCATAATGAGAAAAAAAAAACTCCGACCATGTTTTTGGTTTAAACCCTTAAACTGTCCAAACATAGATCTACGTTTTTTTCAACATTTGAAAGTATTAAAAAAAAATGGAGATCTTTTTTTTTCACATTTGAAAACGTGTAAAAAACTTTGATTTACATTTTTTTTGTTATATTTGAAAATATGTATAAAAACGTAGATCTACTTTTGGAGCACTACGCATGTGAACGTAGATCTGTTTGGACAGTTTAAGGGTTAAACACCGACTTTGCAGTGAATTTTCGTATGGTATTTATGAGTGTAGTTTCCTTTCCTTATTCTCATTTGACAGAATGGAAGATATGTTACAGAAATAGAGATGATTTGGGATGCTTTACAGACTAAAAGTACCTTGAAATTGAGCTCAAAGTAGCAGAAATGTTTGATTTTTGCCGATGTTCAAGAGTAGAGAAATCGCATCATGTCTAATACACGTCAGCTGGTGGGTCTTATGTGCTTTCACAAATGCTCTGATATTATTTATACTATTTTTACAATAATGCAGTAGTCTGAATAGCAGTAAAGCTTCTATTTTTTGTGTGAATAAAAATTCAAAATGAAAAGGTCTGGATACCTGACTAATGAACAGAGAAAAATGTTATTTTGGTGTTAGGAATGTTTGTATTGTTAATTCTGGACCCTATTTGGAAATTGGCCTTACTTGAATTGTGTATGAAATTGGCCAAATTACCAATTTCTGATCACTTTATTGGGTAGTTGAAATAATTAAATGGGCGGTTTCTTGTACTCAGTTGATAGAACAGTTGGAGTCATAGCGAAATAGCTATGAGTTTGGTTGATTGGAACACTGGAATTTGCCGTAAATTGGGCAAAATCGCTGATGTGTAAATATCTCCAAAACCGCTAGCTCTGTGAGAGTGTAATTCTGTAAGTTTTCCATCAAATTTCATACTTTTGGCGTCATTACCATCAGGAAAAGATTCTCTATCGTTTCACAAAAAAAATATTTTTGTTGAATAATGATGAATTTCTCACTGCCTCGGTGGGAAATGGCAAAAATGTGAACCAGATAAAAAAAATGCTGATGTGGGAAATGGCTTGAGACCCCTTTTATTAAATCACATGACTGGTTTAACGCTTTCAGGGTTGAGACCCCAATCTCATACTTGCTCTCAGGGCCAAAGAATTTAAAACAAAAATTTATTTTTTCTTATGAAATGATAGCGAATCTTTTTCTGAAGGTATTGAAGCCAAAAGTACGAAATTTGATGGAAAACTTATGGACTTATTCTCTCGCAAAGTTGGTGGTCTCAGCCATATTTACACACTGGTGATTTTGCCTACTCTTAGCTGTATGTTCGGCCAATCTATTGTTCCAGTCAACCAAACTCATAGCTATTTCACTATTATTCCTTCTATTCTATCAGTTGAGTACAAGAAACCTCCCATTTACTTATTTCAGCTACCCAAAAAAGTGATCAGAAATTGAAAATTTGGCTAATTTCACAAAAAATAAAAAAAAATACCAGTTTAACAATAGGGTCCAGAATAAATAATGTAGACATTCCTGGCACTAACTAAAGAAACATTTCCTGCATTCATTAGTTACATCTCCAGGCCTCTTCTACGTTATGCTTGCTTTCCTTTTTGAATTTTTATTCACACAGAAAATAGATTTAATGTTATGCAAACTATTGCATCATTGTAATAGTTGTCAGTGCATTCCTAAATGTGTATTACACCCACCATTTGGATATGTATTGGATAATTGACTTAATTTGTGTACTCTGGAATATCAGCAAAATCGAACATTTCTGCTACTTTGAGTTCAATTTCAAGCTGCTTTCAGTCCTGAAACCAATCATCTCTATTTCTGTAATATATCTTCCATTCTATTAAATGAGACTAAGAAAGCATGAATGCAACCATAAAACATGTTAAATTACACTGCAAAGTTGCTGTTTTAAGCCAAAAATGCAGTCGCAGTTTTTCCCATTGTGCACTGCTTGCAGCAGGATTTTTTTTTATATGATGAACACTTACTTCATAGACCCATTCTCTCATATCTAGGCCCAAATTTACCACTCACAGCTAATCTGAGTAAGCTGAACTCATGGCATAATACTATGAGACTGACCCAGGCTTCAGAGCCATAGAACAATGGGACCTATCCTGAAAGGGTTAATATGAATATTATGTAGAGAATATGAAGGAAAGACATTAAAAGTGTGTTGGAATGAAATATATAATTCAGAGATTGGAGGAAAGGTTGTTGAAAGGATTGTGACATTGTTAAAAGGTGGAGGAAGATCAGGAGGGTGTATTTATCTAGGGGTGGATGGAAGAATGTGTAGGGGATTTTCCAGTAAGGGTGTGAAGGAGGTTTTAAGTGGTAAAAGCTTAAACAATCAGCAGGCATACATGTGAGTATATTAGATTAGAGTTAGTGAAGATAAGCAGTCTTAAAGATTTAATAAAGTGTTGGACTGTGAGCAAGGTAACATCCTTGAAGGGTTTATGGGAAATTGTTTAACTGGACTTTGATTCTGGAAGTGAAAAGTAAAGTACCAATATCTGTACTCTGAAGGATGAATGGGAATGCTTGTTTGACAGGTCATTTGAATTGTGATATTCATGAATTTCTGGGAAGGCAGTAATTGAATGAGTGATGGTGAATGTGTTTCCTTCTTTTGGGTCAATTTTCCTTGGTATGAAACATTGTGGTTAAAAAAAAAGTCTAATGATCCTCCAAATCATAGCATTGACCCATCATTCAGAGTACATGCACAGAAACACCAGGTTACACCACGGTTGATCTTACCGAGTCAAGCTAAATCATGATGCAGTATTTTATTCTGCATGTTTTTTTCATTTTTTAATTTAATAACTTTTTAGTATTGGTGCAAGTTTGGCGAGATCATATTTATTGGTACAAATCCTAGATATATATCTTTAAAAAATGTATTATGCAGTAAAATGCAAATAAATTATTTTAATTTCTTAAGAAAATTTTGTTTGTACTACGAAAAATTCTTTTAAATATTTGTTTTCCTCAGCTGTTGGTTCCACTACCTTAAACAATCCTGCTACTGAGACAGTTGCAAAAATTGCAGAAGCTAGCACTATAACAAGTACACAGCAGCCTAAGGGACCAGAAGAGGAAGGATTTACTTCTACTCCTGAGTTTTGGTAAGTAAGAGGGAACATTTCATTTTTCTTATACAGGAGGGCCCTGCTTATGTGGCAGGTTAGGTTCTAGGCTACCACTGTAAAGCAAAAATTGCCATAAAGTGAGTCAGCCTTTTTTTTTTTTCTTTTAAATGCGTATAAATGCCTGATAACATGTTTACACTATCATATATTAAGTTAGCAGTAGAAAAAAAATGCACATACTGTACACTCATTACTTACCTTAAAATATTTGTAGTCTTAATGTAGGGTGAGAGGTGAGTATGGTAGACTGTGGATTACCATGGTAGTTACATCCTTGAAAATGCTCTGTATGACAAATCTGTGTTAAAGGAATTAGAGAACTTATGGGAAGAGTAGGGTTACATTCCTAGCAGCCCCAGAAAAATCCAAACTTTTTTTTTTTTTTAGGTCTCCAAATCTTACAAAAATAAAAATGAGAATGCTTTTGCTGTTCATTGTCATGATGTACTATGTTTTTTTCTATTGCTTAAGGCTACAGATGCAACAGAAATAAAATGGCTTACCTTAAATTGTGGTTGCTGGTGTTTGTTGATGATTGTGAAGAGAGTGGAGAGGGATTCTATGGTCCTACTGGGCTGAGGTGGATGGTTGAGGTTCTGGCAATAAAGTCAATGGTTGTACTGGCATGTGCATAAATTGTGTAATGGATCTCTGGGCTCTCTTACCCTGCAGTACATTGTACAGCTGATGGTAAGGCATCATCAACTTTTCTAGACCCTGTTTCAGAGCACTGTTTATAAATTTGTTAGGGTCCTCTTCAGTGAAAAAGGCTGCAGCCCTGAGAGCAAGTTTCAAATCAGGGGTTCTGACCCCTGATTTGTGGTGCACTTAGGAGTCTGTGGAGACAAAGAACTTTGTCTGTGGAAGCAAAGAGGGGAATATATGAGAGTTATACCAACACTTTTATATGGGTGTGAAGCATGGGTGATGAATGTTGCAACGAGGAGAAGGCTGGAGGCAGTGGAGATGTCACATCTGAGGGCAATGTGTAGTGTGAATATAATGCAGAGAATTTGTAATTTGGAAATTAGGTGTGGGATTACCAAAACTATTATCCAGAGGGCTAAGGAGGGGTTGTTGAGGTGGTTTGGACATGTATAGAGAATGGAACAAAATAGAATGACTTCGACAGTGTATAAATCTGTAGTGGAGGGAAGGCAGGGTATGGGTTGGCCTAGGAAAAGTTAGAGGGAGGGGATAAAGGAGGTTTTGTGTGCAAGGGGCTTGGACTTCCAGCAAGCATGCGTGAGTGTATTTGATAGGAGTGAATGGAGACAAATAGTTTTTAATACTTGACGTGCTGTTGGAGTGTGAGCAAAGTAACATTTACGAAGGGAGTCAGGAAAACTGGCCATCAGGACTTGAGTCCTGGAAACGAGAAGTACAGTGTCTGCACTCTGAAGGAGGGGTGTTAATGTTGCAGTTTTATAACTGTAGTGTAAAGCATCTCTCTGGCAAGACAGTGATGGAGTGAATGATGATGAAAGTTTTTCTTTTTCGTGCCACCCTGCCTTGGTGGGAATCGGTTGATGTGTTAACCCTTTCAGGGTTTCCGATGTACTAGTACGTTTTATGCACCAGGGTTATTGACATACTAGTACACGTAAATTCTAGCACCTTCAAATCTAGAGAGAAAGCTGGTAGGCCTACATATGAAAGAATGGGTCTATGTGGTCAGTGTGCACAGCATAAAAAAAATCCTGCAGCACACAGTGCGTAATGAGAAAAAAAAACTGACCATGTTTTTGGTTTAAAACAGCGACTTTGCACCATATTTTCGTATGGTATTTATGGTTGTATTCTAGTTTTCCTGGTCTCATTTTATAGAATGGAAGACATATTACAGAAATTGAGGTGATTTTGATTGGTTTCACAATGAAAAGTACCTTGAAATTGAGCTCAAATTAGAAGAAATGTTTGATTCTTGTCAAAGTTCAAAAGTAAACAAATCATACCACGTGTCCAATACACGTCAACTGGTGAGTCTAATATTCTTTCACAAGTGTGCTGATATTATTTATACCATTTCTATACTAATGCAGTAGTCTGCATAACAGTAAATCTTTTATTTTTTGTGAGAATAAAAATTCAAAGTGGAAAGCAAAAGAATGTAAAAGGGGCCTTGGGACGTGACTAATGAACAGAGGAAATGGTATTTTAGTGCCAGGAATGTCTGTCTTGTTTATTCTGGACCCTATTTGGAAATTGGCATCTTTTGAAATTTGTGTGAAATTGGCAAAATTGCCAAATTCTGACTACTTCATTGGATAGTTGAAATCAGTAAATGGGTGGTTTCTTGTACTCATTCGATAGAAAAAATGGAGTTCTAGCGAAATAGTTATGATTTTTGTCGACTAGTACACTGGAATTGGCCAAAAATAGGGCTCAAACTGGGCGAAATTGTCAATGTGTGTAAACATCGATGAGATCGCTAAATTCGCGAGAGCATAATTCCATAAGTTTTCCATCAAATTTCATACTTTTGGTGTCATTATGATTGGGAAAACATTCTCTTATCGTTTCATAAGAATTTTTTTTTTTTCCGAAAAATTTTCGACCCTGAGAACAAGTTTAGGAGAGGGCCTCTCGACCCTGAAAGGGTTAATAAAAATAATAAGGTTAGTGGACGAGTTTTGGAGTGTGTGTAAAGGTAGAAAGTTGAAAGTGAACATAGGTAAGAGTAAGGTGATGAGGGTATCAAATGATTTAGATAAAGAAAAATTGGATATCAAATTAGAGAGAAGGAATATGGAAGAAGTGAATGTTTTCAGATACTTGGGAGTTGACGTGTCAGCAGATGGATTTATGAAGGATAAGGTTAACCAAGGTAGTAGGTTAGTAGACAGTAACCACCTGGGGGGAGGTACTACCGTCTTGGCAAGCGAGTGTGAAACGAAAGCCTGTAATTGTTTTACATGATGGTAGGATTGCGTGTCTTTTGTCTGTCTCATAAATATGCAAGATTACAGGTACGTCTTGCTACTTCTACTTACATTTAGGTCACTCTACATACACATGTACATGTTTATTTATACACACTCATCTGAGTTTTCTTTGATTTTATTCTTAATAGTTCTTGCTCTTATTACTTTTCCTTTTATATCCATGGGGAAGTGGAATAAGAATCTTTCCTCCGTAAGCCATGCGTGTTGTAAAAGTCAGCTAGAATGCCGGGAACAATGGGCTAGTAACCCCTTTTTCTGTAATAAATTACTAAAAAGAATAAGAAGAAAATTGTCAAAGTGGGAAGTCTGAATGTGCGTGGATGTTGTGCAAATGATCAGAAAAAGATGATTGTGGATGTTATGAATGAGAAGAAGCTGGATGTCCTGGCTTTAAGTGAAACAAAGCTGAAGGGGGTGGGAGAGTTTCAGTGGAGAGGAATAAATGGGACTAGGTCAGGGGTTTCTAATAGAGTTAGAGCTAAAGAAGGAGTAGCAATAATGTTGAAGGATAAGTTATGGCAGGAAAAGAGGGACTACAAATGTATTCAAGGATTATGTGGAGTAAAATGAAGGTTGGATGTGAAAAGTGGGTTATAGTAAGCGCATATGCACCTGGAGAAGAGAGAAGTGTAGAGGAGAGAGAGAGAGAGATTTTGGGAAATGTTGAGTGAATGCGTGGGGAGTTTTGAATCAAGTGTGAGAGTAATGGTGGTTGGGGATTTCAGTGCTAAAGTGGGCAAAAATGTTGTGGAGGGAGAAGTAGGTAAATTTGGGGTGCCAGGGGTAAATGAAAATGGGGAGCCTTTAATTGAGCTATGTGCAGAAAGAGGTTTGGTAATAAGTAATACATATTTTATGAAGAAGAGGATAAATAAATATACAAGGTATGATATAGCACGTAATGAAAGTAGTTTGTTAGATTAGGTATTGGTGGATAAAAGGTTGATGGGTAGGCTCCAGGATGTACACCTTTATAGAGGGGCAAGTGATATATCGGATCATTATTTAGTTGTAGCTACAGTTAGAGTAAGAGGTAGATGGGAAAAGAGGAAAATGGCAACAAGAAGCAAGAGGGAGGTGAAAGTGTATAAACTAAGGGAGGAGGAAGTTCGAGTGAGATATAAGCGACTATTGGCAGAAAGGTGGGCTGGTGCAAGTGTGAGTAGTGGGGGGAGGGGGTTGAAGAGGGTTGGAACAGTTTTAAAAATGCAGTATTAGAATGTGGGGCAGAAGTTTGTGGTTATAGGAGAGTGGGTGCAGGAGGAATGAAGAGTGATTGGTGGAATGATGAAGTAAAGGGTGTGATAAAAGAGAAAAAGTTAGCTTATGAGAGGTTTTTACAAAGCAGAAGTGTTATAAGAAGAGTAGAGTGTATGGAGCGTAAAAGAAAGGTGAAGAGAGTGGTGAGAGAGTGCAAAAGGAGAGCAGATGATAGAGTGGGAGAGGCACTGTCAAGAAATTTTAATGAAAATAAGAAAAAATTTTGGAGTGAGTTAAACAAGTTAAGAAAGCCTAGGGGAAAGTATGGATTTATCAGTTAAAAACAGAGTAGGGGAGTTAGTAGATGGGGAGATGGGGTTTTGGGTAGATGGCGAGAATATTTTGAGGAACTTTTAAATGTCGATGAAAAAAGGTAAGCGGTAATTTCATGCACTGGCCAGGGAGGTATACCATCTTTTAGGGGTGAAAAAGAACAGGATGTGAGTATGGGGAGGTGCGTGAGGTATTACGTAGAATGAAAAGGGGTAAAGCAGCTGGAACTGATGGGATCATGACAGAAATGTTAAAAGCAGGGGATATATAGTTTGGAGTGGTTGTACTTTTGTTTAATAAATGTATAAAAAGAAGGGAAGGTACCTAGGGATTGGCAAAAGAGCATTTTATAGTCCTTTATATAAAGGGGAAAGGGGGGACAAAAGAGATTGTAAAAATTGTAATGGAATAAGTTTACTGAGTATACCAGGAAAAGTGTACGGTAGGGTTATAATTGAAAGAATTAGAGGTAGGACAGAATGTAGGATTGAGAATGAG